ACAGCAATTTATTGATTTTAATGAATGGTACTACAAATTAGGTCGTTTAGATTCAAGCTAGAGACTACAGTTCATCTTGTTTCAGATTGTGCTAAAGTTAAAGATTCAGCAATTCAAATGTGGAATTGAATTGTCAAAGTTCGTTGATATTACGAAAAAAGAGGGTCTATCAAACCTAAATTATCTTGTAATTAATCTTTGCTTCAAACTGACTCATGGAGAAAGCATATTTATACTTTGATTGCATATTGACTATTCTGATTAGAAGATTTATTGCATCATATCAGTTTCCAGATATGTTGTACTTTGATGATTTTCGGCTCCGGTGTGCAATGCTTTTTGCCTTTTAGTTTAAATCTTTATTTGATCTTTGCAGCTGTGGAGAACGATATTGCTAAGACCTTTCAAGCTTGTAACTGTATTCCTTCATGAGGCTAGCCATGCTATTGCTTGTAAACTCACATGTGGTCATGTAAGTATTTCCTTGTGTTGCTACATTCCATCCCTAGTAATTAGCATTTTCCAGCAAATTGTTATCAGATATTTATTGTGCAATGGCCTTAGTTTGCAGGGTAAATCGATATTTTCGTTTACTCTTCACGCTGAATTTCTGTTATCAAGTGGAAAAATTTACTCACTACACATTTTTAAATACTTGGTGGTTGCCTAGAGGAAATGAAAGAACATAAAATGTCAACTTGATATAAACAATGAGGGGAAATGTTTTATCTCTCTCCTGTTTGGATTTTGGGCCCGATCATCAATTATAGTACTTCCATTAAGGTAGCAATCATTGAAATAAATCTTTACAATTCGTTAAAAATCTGAGCTTTGTTCATGTTTTCATATAATGAGTTTATTTGATAGGAGAATTAATTTCTTTTTCTTTCTGAAGACTAGATTAGTGAAATGGTCATCAGGCCATGTATATTTGAAACTTATTGTATAACACCTAAATGTTTCACTTAGGATCGATGAGATAACAGGATATTAGGTCCATCAGTTCGATTTCTAAGTGAAACAATAGTTCTGTTTGATTATCTTACTTGGCTTGCTGCTCTTGTCTTCACTTAAGTGATGTTTGCCCATTGGTGCATCTTGAGAGCCAAATTCCAAGTAACGAATTTGTTGATTGCATAACCTTGAAATTTTATCGTTTGCGGGTAATTTAGTTTCTAAGAGGACCTCGTATGCAGGTGGAAGGGATCCAGGTTCATGCGGATGAAGGTGGAACCACACAAACGTGGTGGAATATACTGGCTAATCTTGCCGGCCGGATGTACCTTCATTATTCCTTGACTGCTGCTCACAAAACAGATACAGACCCCATACATTTATAGATGCATAATTAAGTCAAAATTTAGTTGAATTACAGCCTTTTGACATTGTGCTTTGATGAATTGTTTTCATCCAAGTATATGTTAACGCATGCTGTTGTGCATATAAATTTGTTTAAAATATTTGTTTCGCTATCAATTGTCTCTTCATAAGGTTGCCTGTGTTGTCCGAACTGACACTTATCTTTGCACTCTAGATCTTGGTTCTTCTTTCTGGGGAATGGTTTTGATTCTAGCATCGACAAATCTTCTGACTGCGAGAATTGCTGCAGGATGTTTTGTTGTTGCTCTACTTGTTGTACTCTGTGTAGCAAAAAATGTAAGTATTCATGAACACCTAGAATGATCCATCTCGTTTCTTTTATGTTCCATCAGTAGTTTATAGATGCTAGATTGCATTTGCAAGGTTATGTGGAATACGAATGGCAAAATTCGAGGATAATTTTTATGTTTGTATGGATCTTTATTATCTTTTTATGTTGTTTTGGCAGTGGACACTAAGAGGACTTTGCATTGGTATGTTTTTCAATAGCTAGAATGAATATGGCTTGATATTCCATCTAAGTAATGTCAAACCATGTGTATTGAGATGTCAGGGTTTGTTGTTTTCCTTGGTGTGGTTTGGATTCTTCAGGAAACCACAAAGATTCGCATACTTCGGTATATTATTCTGTTCATCGGTAAATGAATCTCTCTCGCTTTCTTTGTCCGAGACAAGAGGATGATTCCTGTTACTTTCTTTTATCCCCATTTTAAGGAAAGTGATATACCTTACTGCAGGTGTAATGAACAGCTTGTTTTCAGTGTATGGTACGATTTCGGAATTCGAAACACAGAAGGTGATGGTTTTAACATCCGTTATATGATTTGCTGATTCAGTATAGTATATACTTGATGTTACAGATATATACGATGACCTCATATCTCGTAGAGTTCACTCTAGCGATGCTGAAAAATTTGCAGAAGTATGTCCTTGTCCTTGCAACGGTGTTGGATGGGGTGTCATCTGGTGAGAATTTCGAAATAAAATAGGAAACATGCATGAGGATTAGTTGTGACTTCAATTTGTTGAATGAATTTTGGTGTTGGGGGCAGGGGATTAATTTCATTGGTGTTTCTGTGTGGAGCAATGTATATAGGCCTTGTGATATTGTCTTGAGTTAAAAAATCTGCTTCCATTTTCATATTGTTTATGCTTTGATTTTGTTTCTTTTTCACCTCTCTGATTATAGGTATCATTTTTTTTTGCAGGGAAGATTGCTGCTTAATTCGCCATTTACAGATTTCCGACAAAAATATCCGGTTCTGAATTAATACGTGCATTTGAACACACTTGACTTCGTCATCTTGAATGTTACAGTAACAAGTATAACAATGAAGTTAAGATTCAATCAGTAACTGATTGTGAATTATGTGATAATATATGTTAAATTTTTTTATCGAATTTATTTCTTTCTAACGATGTTTATCGGATATAAAAAGTTGTTCCTTAATGAGGTGTTACTTCAATGTCAATGTAGAGATTTATACACTGATAATATAGAGTTTGCATGGAATGGAGGCTGAGTCCGGCATTCTATTATGGATTTGGAGGCAACGAGGTTTGTCTTGTCGGATTCTATGGCAGCAATGGAAGGGAGGGACCAGGTATCAGTGACAGCAAACACTATTGTTCCGGCACCAAGGTCTTATGCTGATACGGTATTGGGTGAGCATATTCAGGCAGCTTCCATCCCTTCGGAGAGGTGGATGTTTCCCTTCAAGCGGAGGATGTTGTTGATAGAACTGGAATAGTTCGTCTCCTCGGGAAAACTATTGGATATCGAGCTCTTTGGAATAGAATTAGAACTCTTTGGCAATTGCAGGGAAAGTTCCAACTTATGACTTGGATAAAGATTATTTTATAGTCCGATTAGAGGCCGAATGTGATTTTATTCGGGTGCTTACAGAAGGACCATGGATGGTTTTCGACAATTATTTAACGGTACAATCGTTGAGTATGAATTTCTCTACCTCAAAAAGTCATCCTTCAAGGGTTATTGTGCGGGTTCGTTTTCCGGGACTTCCTTATCGTTACTACACAAAATCTCTCCTTCGTATGCCGACAGCTGAACTTGACCAAGTGATTAAGGTTGATTATAATACTAACTTGGGGAATTGCAAGGTTAGCGGTAGTCGCTGATTTGAATAAACCATAGCTCTCATGCATCGACATTGATGGATTTATTCAAAAACTGTAATATGAGGGGCTCCATCAGATCTGTTTCAAGCGATGTTTATGGCTATGCAAAAGACTTATGTGGTTTGTAACTTGCAAGCAAAGAAAATTGGAGTGAGTGATAAATCGAAACCCTCGTGAGATATTAATTCGGAAAATACGAATGTTTGAGGATAAAAATAAATATCGACCCTGGATGGTTGCTACCAAGCGCCGACGTCGCACTCATAAGGTTGCTGTTCCATAGGCACAGGTGAATAGCATGACCGATGGAGGTGATAATACAAGATATGCAGCCCTCGCTAATGATGGAGATGGGTTTCACCCTGTCAGGGTAAATGGGGAGCGAGATATGAATGTAGCACAGGGGAAGGCTGTGACCGTGATTGCAGAGGAGACCTTTAATGGTTCACGCCAGGCAACTGCAACCTTGAAAAATTTAATCTTCATATAATATGGATATTTTTTTATATTTTTTATTGAGAATATGTTTTCGTCATCCCTGAAATTTTATAAGTTCATTCTCAAATTTTATGAATTCATTCCTTAACATGTAATCTTGAGTTTGTCCCTACATGCATGCTTATATATATATATATAGTTTCAACTCCAAGTTAAAAACATACCTTGATTAATTAATCTTATATATTTTATGGTTTTGAAATGCATCAAACCCAGAGGGAAAATGAAGAAGAAACAAAAGAATTGGAAAGATTGATGAGAGAAGGATATGTTGGAGGGCAAGCTTGCTTGCACTCATCATCATCAACATGAGCCTCTTTGACTTAACCTAATATGCATGTTGCCTCGCAACAAATGATGAAGATGCCATGTTTTTCAACACCTTTTGAAGTTCATTAAGTGTCAGAAATGTTCCCCCACATAGCATGGGTGAAACCAAGAATGAGCTTAAGATTTTATATTAGGAGAAGAAATTCTAAAATTTTAGTAGATGATAAATTTCTAAAATTTCAGAGGACGAAAACAGATTTTCAATAAAAAATACATATAAACAATCTAAAATTTATGATAAAATTTTCAGGGGTGATTGCCTCCACCCGCCCTCTTCGGTTCATCTTGGGTGAAAATAGCAGTAAAAGAATATTGTTCTTTCTAGAATTGTTGGATTTGAGTAACTATGTCTGTAGAGTGTGCATGCGTTGTTAATAAGCTAAAAAATTCAAACATATACTACATTATAATCACTTCTAATTATTAAAAAAATATTTCTCCCTCAAGTCTCTCTTTTGTCAATTTCATTTGATTAAAACATGACTGCTAGATTCGACAATTTTTTTCCCGAATGGAGCCATATCATGCAAAGTTTATAAACCATTTAGTGATTTGATTTGATTCAAATTGATTGATGATCAGCATTAATGACAGCATTAGGGTACATTAAGAGCCAAAAATGACTTTGGACTTTAAGTGTCACACACCCCAAATGGGGTCTAATGTTAAGCTATTTTAAACTTTCAGGCCGTCTATTGAGTTCCTAAAGGGATTTCTATTGTGTTTAACCCTAAACTCAGAATATTCAAATACACATTTGTTTATTTTCAGGTTTTCTTCCCAAATTTTTAAATTTCAACTGGTTATTGCTCTCTCTCCGTTTTGATTTTTTGCTTGGTTAGTCGCCCAGAGAGTTGCCGTTAACGACACCGCCAGCACTAAAATGTTCAGCTCGTCATTTTCGATCTGCTGGTGGTGGTGCCTCCTTCACCGTCATCGTCGGTTGCAAGATAGGCTGGGAAAAGCGTTTGGGTTTCGTAAATACATCATCACTGCCGCTCACTGTCGTGAACTTACACCGGTAATGGACTATCAAACCCTTAAAATTAAAATTTGTGATTTTTGGTATGAAACCGGTCACCGGAGGGTGGCGCACACGTCGTTGCGTGTGTGATTGTTTTCTGCAAACCGGTTGGACTAGTTTGACCAACTAGTTAACCTGAACCGTCTTGTTAACTCGAATTGTTGATCCGAACGGACCTGTTAATTTTGACCGTACACTGTTTACTTTTTTTTTTTGTTGATCGTTGACTTAATAGTTGATCATTGACTGTTAAGTTTTTTTTTGAAGATCTATATCTTGATATTTTTCAATATCCTGAATCCGTTTTTGTAGTATGTTTTGTCAAATCCTAAATCGAAAGTCCTATTTTTTTTTATTTTAGTACTTTACAATATAGTTGTGTTATGTAAATTATGAAATTTATAGTCTTACTTTATGATATTATGTTCTGAAGGTGGTCATGTGTCTCTGCACCACTCCCCCAATAAGTTTGAATCACCTCTATTCAGTTTAGTTTGACTCTGCACGTTAAATTTGAGATATGTGTGAGTGTTATTAACTGAATTATTAGTTGATTCTGTTTAATTAAGTTTTATTTCAGTTCTTTTACAGTAATATATTATCATTAGGTTTCCGTTCCGTAGAACCTAGTATTACTGTTCATGGCAAAAGTAAAGCTTAGCTGGCCCTCTTGACCCATACGATGCATTTAGTCATCTGATTATATTATATATTTGTTATTTGTACGCATGTTCGTGTTCTGATTATATTGGTCTGAGATATGTTTGATATCTGATTGGCATGGCATCTGTGTGTTGATATATTTATGTCATCTGCATAAGTTCCTCTACGAGGGTAACATCTTCGTCCTGTTTCTACATGGAATCCTCTACGGATGGCATAATCCCCCTTATGTTTCTGTATGGGATCCTCTAAGGATGAAAAAATCTCCATCATGTTTCTGTTTGGGATCTATTCGGAGGGTTATATTCCCATTCTGATTTTTGATTTCTGTTTCTGTTGGGATCCTCTATGGAGGACGATATCCACATCCTATTTCTAATAGGGATCCTATATGGAGGGTTATATCCTCATCCTAATTTTTGTATTCTATTTCGGGTACCTCTTCGGAGGGTAATGTCCTTATCCTGTTATTCTCGACGAAACGTAAGGTTGTGTGAATTTCCTGTTATAATACTTTGGTACTGGTTAGTTATTTTACTATTGCTTGAATTTAAAGTTGCATCTTTATGTCATATATGAGTTACTCATTGAGCTTTGTAGCTCACTTTATTTTTGTTTTTCCTTTTCAGATTATCTAGTTATAGGACTAATATAACTATCAAAGGAATAGTCTTAATTGTATATTGTATGAGGTTTAATATTTATTTTCAACCTCTTTAAAATGTGGCATGAGCTTATTTATGATATCATATTCGATAAATGTCTCTAAAATGATTTAATAGGAATTTCGTTTGTAGGTCATTTAAATGACGTGGTTACATTGATTCCGTTATAACTCATAAGCTAGGTCTAAGGATTACATTGAGACAGTAAGCTTAACATGAATAGACCTCACTTTCGTTTAAGACAAAAGTTTAATGACAAAATTAGGAAAAACCCATTGTTATTTGATTACGGAAACCCACGAAAAAATGAACAAAATGAAGCAGACATGAGTTTTCATGCATCCCATATTAATTCAATCAAAGCTATTTTCAAACAATTACTTATCCTCACACAAATCCCATTTTTTCCCCGGCAAATATAATATTATTAAAGATTTAATCAAACAATTTTAAAACCTAAGTTGCATGACTCGTTAAAAACATCCGTAAACTTATACGAAGGAAAAGAGTACAACACAACTAGTAAAAACTACACTAAAAAAATTACAAACCCAACAACCATCTACCAAAATCAATAAAGTACCCTGAGAACCCAATTCAAACCGACAACAATGGAAACCACTTTAATCAACTATTTCACTCTTTCACCATGGATCTTGAGGATCTAAGAGAAGTATGTCATTTCTTTTGTATCACTCTTCAACACCTTTTTTCTTAATTGGCTATTATCTTTAATTTGATATATATTGACATCAAGGATAAGTAACTAAGTACTACTTTAGTCTTCTAAATGTAAAAGCTAGCCTTAAGCTGTCATTTAAAATGTCCGACTAGAATATGTTGTAGATCCACACTTTTACTTGCTCACCCTGGAATTCAAATTTCCTTTGATAATTATCTATTTTATTGATTGTGTCCACCAGTAATTTTACTTGTGCTTATCCCGTACACAAATTGTATCGTTAATATATATGTCTACCTAAAAGGTATTTACACTAAATAATCCACCGGATACACAGATGTGCTTATCACGGACACGCTTAACCACCGGATCCCCATAGGAGATCATCAGCAACTTCCAGCTTGCAATTCGATTTACACTCCAATAATCCAATTTAATTCGAATGTATCCAAATTGATTTAATAACCTTTTCATCACATTGTTCTATATACTTCTTTGGGGTCAACTTTCCTGTGTTGACTCAAAAATTCAAAGTGTTACATAGAATTTCATTCCAGATAGTGTATTTTTCCTCGGATTCTCACTAAATAATTGTAGGTATCAATGTTTGGGTTCCCATGGTAGGGTCTTTATCGGTAGGCATGATGTGTTTGATGAAAAAGAATTTTCATCTGCAACTTCTCACTCGATCCAAATAGCTTATCTCCGATGTTTTCTTTCTAATCCAGTTTCAGTTTTGAACTGTCCTCAATCCATTTTTTCTAAAAAAAATATATAATTTTCTAATACAATTGATACTTAATTAATTATTGATGTTAATTCAATAAGTGATTTTATAACAATGAACGAGGTTGGTTTAAGTGATAAGCAGTTTGATATCGCTTAATCAACGTCTCAAGTTTGTGTATGCAGAAAATTTCTACGGGGAGACTCACCACCCACCAAAGACATATGTATTATGCGGGTCGATCCGGATTAGTCAAGGCAAAGCCTTGGAACCAGTAGTACAATAAAAAAAGTGATTTTATAACAAACAGAGGAAAGATAGAATTTATTCAAAACATAAATCACACAGACCATAAAGAACACCGAAGACCGCAATCAAACACCTGAGAATGACAAGAACGAACACAAGGAACAACCATCGAGGCTTATAGCGAACATAAAATCGAACCGAATAAAAACACAGCAGAAAACCAACACATGCAGACATGCTATCTTTCCTGTTGAACCCCCATGGCCATGGAGTATGTACATTACCTTTTGCTCCCTGGAGGAAGCTGCTCTGATCGAGCCTCAAACTTCTTTCTGTAGTAATTAGAACCATAGTAAGTGCCACCTTGAACTTCAGTTAAGACGCTGCTTCCATCATAAAGAGTGTCCCTTTGCATGTACGTGAAAGGAACATCGCACATGCCTTTCGTTGCTATTAGGTCAACCGTCACCTTACTCATCGGCGGCACAACGACTTTGTGCAAGACTTCTACCTCGGTGGACGATTCGAAGACCTTCCCCAACTCGATTCCTGTTTTGACTTCAGCCGACATTTCGATGCTCCCCTCGAAAATGAGCGGAACACTGATGTCCATCGATGCCTTCATGCCCAACGTTAGCGAAAAATCAGTCTTCCAAGAACTACTCTTGGCATCTTTGTTTACGAGCTTGACGTCCATAGAGGATTCCTTTTCGGTAAAGTTGCTAGCGGAATTCTGGTCGACGACGATGACTGTTTCGTTGTAGACCCTGGCATTATCGAGATCGTATTTAACATCATATATTTGCCTTGACAAGATATGCTCCTCCACCGTGATTTGGGCTTCTTTGGTAACGGAGTGCACAACTGCAGCAACACCATTGCCCGTTGAACCTTCACTGAGCCTCTTGCAGAAATTATTGTTGCGCAAGCTGATTAGGGCTATCTTATCATCGCCAAGTTTGACGGGACGAAACAAGGTTTCCATGTTGTCGGCGGTAGTGTCATCGGTATCTGCCCAGATCCACTTCGAGTCACACCTATAGAATTTCCCGGTTTCAGGGGACTTGATGCGAATGTTTCCGTCGTTGGCAGGAACAATCTCGCATGCTACGGTTGATTCGCCGACGTCGGTCTGTGCGAAACACGGAAAATTGTTTCTGTAAAGGTACATATACATGTCATTATCACCCTTAAAGGCAACGTACCTAGGTAGAATCAGTAACAAACTCCAATCAATAATTGTGAATTCATCAGCTCTTTGGCGACCAAACTCTTTGTTGTTAGACATTAAGCCGTGATCGAACTTTGGATCCTCCAATCTCCATGACCATACATAGCAACCCGATTGGATATGCATGATTCTGAATGTGTTCATAGCAGTGTCTACGGAGACAAACTTGAACAATGTGCACGACTCCTTCGATTCATCTTCCTCCTTCTCTTTCGACGTCGTTACGATCCAGGGTCCCGAAGGGACAGATGGAAGATAGGTTCGCTGCCAGTATTTGTTGTTTTGACAACTTCTTATATGCACCAAACCTCTAGTTTTCGAACTTTCAACTTCGAACTTTGCATACGGGCTCGTAACCTGAGGTTCCATGAATCTCAGATACCCGTCAGCTTTTCCGCCTTCACGAATATAAGTTAAGTACCCGATCTTATCGACGGATTCGATGACTATAAACCTCGGCAAGTTCGATGCCATTTTGCTAGCTTTTTTTTTTTGAATGGATGATGATCTCTACAAAGTAATTTGCTCTCTTGATGGTGTACTTGCTTACCTCAACCTCCTAGGGTTTGCTATTTATAGCCATTTCATTTCATTTCATTTTTTGGTACGTCCATTTCATTTTATTGCCACTAGTGAAAAAAATAACATATTTTAACAACTTGCTATGTCGTTTTCTTATTTCCTTGATCCAATATTTTTAATATGAGCTTAGTGGCACTTATGGAGAAAAGCGGTTAAAGTTTGAGTATTGTGGAGTTCGACTAGATTCAAAAAGTTCAAAGTGGAGCTCAATTCGAAAACTCGCAAGCTTAAAATTATCATTCTCAACTTGAAATCAAAACTTAAACTCAAAATATTCTCATACTTAGCTCGATCAAAGCTCGAAGACGAGCTCAAAATTAAACCTTAAGTACATGAAAACTCTTATGTTGCATTTAAAAAAAACAACATATAAATGTTACTCCATTTGTCCCACTAGATTTGTCCATTTTGATTTTTAAAATTGTCTAATTCAAAATGTCATATTAAAAAGTCAACAAATAACAACATTTATATTTATTTTTTACCTTTATTTGTCTCATTCTTTTACATATATCAAATCAAATTTATGAAATCTATCAATTATTTTTTAGGGATGATTTTGTCATTTTCCTTATTTTATATAACTTAACATACAATCAATTGTATCTCCTAAAACTATGTATTTGATCAACATTGGGCAAAAATTATGAGACGAAGAGAGTAATTTTAATAATTTAATTTAAAAATATATAATATATATATATATATATTATATATATATATATATATATATATATAAATGAGTTGCTTGCGAGTCAAGTAGCGTATCAAGTAGTTTACTCAGGTATATTAAGAATTCGAGTTGTGTCCATTCGATTTAAGTGTTGATCGAGCTTTGACCGAGTCAAGCTGAAGTAGCTTGCGATCGTATCATTTACAGCCCTACCACCGCCAGCCTAATCTATTTACTATTTTGAAAGGAAAAAAAATTGAATTTTCTTTAATAGTATATGATGATTACAAGTTAGAATATATTCAAAACTTTTCTTAGTTTATTGACAACGTATATACACTCTACAGACACAACTGTTCAAACTTGAATCTTCTAAAAATAAGTAAAAAAAAAGAAGAATGGTAAGAAAAATTATAAACACATATGAAATTAATTAAACCCAACAAATTTCTAATTACTTAATTAATTTATTAAAATTTAATCTAAGATAAAAATATAAAACTAAATACATGTTATAAATTAAAATAAATATATCAAGAAGTATAACAAGAGAGAAAATGAATAAGAGAAATATTAAGTATAAAGGAAAACAGAACAGAAAAAATAGAGAATCTAATTTTGGTTATCGTTTTATTTTTTATTTACTCGAATGATATTTATAATATAAATATATAAAATAAATGAATACGAAAAACAAATGAATAAATAGAATTAAATTAATGAATAAAAATTAAATAATTTAAATATTTTTACATAAATAATTTAATCTTGATATAAGATAACATCATACCTTACAACACCTAACCATTAGATGCCAAAACACACCAACACATGCTTAAACAAAGACCAAAAATAATAAAAGGTAACATAAATCATTTCATATCATAAAATTATTTTTAATTATTTATCGATAAAATAATATCTCTTCGAAATTTCTTTTGTTATTGATAATACAATAGTTAGAACTTGATTCTTTTAAAAGGAATAACATTATATTTTTATAATTAAAGTTATTTAATATATTAAAAAATAGTAGTATATAACTTTTTTTAAAAAAAAATCCTGATGGACAAAAACGAAGTTAGGATTTTAATCCAATGAGATAAGATATAACTAACAATAAAAAGTAATATAAAATTAAAATAAATTAAATTTTAAAATTTAAATATATTTATTTATTTCTATATATTTTTTAATAATACAATATTAAAAGGCAGTGACCCCAACTTATACATAGTTTTGTCCCTACCGACGTGATTACTCTAATATACACACTAGCTGTTATCCACCCACTATGTCAAAATAAATAAATAAAAGAAAGACTTCTACGTGCAATTGGACAATGAAAAAAGTGTAACATTGTTTTTTTATTAATTATAATAAAATATATGATTAAAAATAACTCTTAATTATTTCATGTTAGACGCCCACATCTTTGGTGTAATATTATTTTAAAATGTGTAACATTATTTTAAGTTATCCGAAAGAAAAAAGAGTTCAAATAAACAAAGATTAAAGAATCAACAAACCTCAATTTCCAGCTAATTAAGATTTAATATCCGAATAATCACATTTAATAATAGTTATATCCAGGGTTGAATTTAACGACGTAACGACTAGTCAAAATGATACTTATTTGTAATTATATTGATATTCTATGTTATGGATTTTCAAATTGAATTTGAATATATGGTTTTGCGTTCGTGTATAGTTTTTTACGACTCTCGGCTCTGATTTGTAGTTCTCTATGATATTTTAATAGTTTAATCTCCTTCTGTGGTTTGTTTACCGATGCAGTCATATTTGTTCGTATTAATTTTTCGTTTAAGTCTTTTGTTTGGGATTTTAACATTTTCCATGTATAGTCCTTGTATGATCTAAATTGACTAGTTTCTTGTGTCAAAGTTATATGAAAATATTCAAATTATATATTTGATTTATGATGATAGTTGCAAAACTTTTTTGTAATTTTAGATATATATTTTTAATTTTTAATAAGATTAACAAGTTATATTAAAAAAAGAGTTTCATAATAAACATTTTAAACCTAATTAAAAAAACAACATATGTTATAACTTACTTTGTCATTTTCTTATTTTCTTGATCCAATATTTTTAATCTGAGCTTAGTAACACTTATGAATGTAAACGAGTCGAGTCGAGTTGAGTTTGAGTATTGTTAAGTTCGACTAGATTCGAGAAGTTTAAAGCTGAGCTCAATTCGAAAACTTGCAAGTATAAAATTGTCAAGATCAACTAGAAATCAAAAATTAAAGTTTAACTCGAACTTGAAATAGTCTCAAACTTAGCTCGATTAAAACTAAGTAAATAAATAAATAATTTAATCTTAAAATGAGATATTGTAAGACCTACCATCTAACTCATTAGATGTCAAAAAACACCAACTCCATACACAAAGACTTAAAAAAACATCAAACCTCAAATTTTAAGACTTTTAATACTCAAATAATTACATTGAATTGATTACATCCTAGAATCATGTTCACTCACAAATTAGTATAATATTTTTAAACGACGTGTATGAAAAATAGTTAATTTCTTTTAAAAATTTGGGTAAAGTACACAAATGGTCCCCCGACTATAGGACACTACTTTGTTGAGTCCCCCAACTATTAAACATTATACAATGGTCACCGACTATTCATATGTTTCAAACTCGTCATTTTCTGTAAAATAAAAATTAAAAAATTGATTGTTGTTTGAGATGGATGTTAACCTACTAACTGAAATATGATAAAATTATATTTTAATGATGTCTATTGGCATAATCGTTATTTTTAAGCACTAGCGGGAAGATACAACGTTTCAAGGCACTAGTCGATGACAACATGTAAACGGAGATTCAATCCACAAAATACACCTCAAACAGTTATGGGAGATTTTATCATATCCCAAAATATGTTAATGTCCAGCTCAGAAGGTCATTAGTTTTTAACGAAAAAAGATGAGTTTGAAACATATAAAGACTCGAGAGACTATTTTGTAATTTTAATAATCAGGGGAATCAATAAAGCTTTACCTTATAGTCATAGAACCATTTTGTAACTTCTAATAATTGAAGGACTTAATAAAGTAACATCCTATAGTTGAGGGGTCATTTGAGCACTTTACCCTAAAAATATGTATACTTTGAGAGAGATTGATCTTTAAAATGATTCACGAATCAAGTTATGATCCACATTTGCCTAAAAATAACGTAATTTTTATTTTATAAATAATAAAATTTTAAAGATTAATATGACTATAATCGATTAAAATCCTGGAATGATTTATGTAAAAACGATTTTTTTCTTAAATTTTTTTTTAATTTTTTAAAAGTGATTTTTTAAAAGATATCGTCTTGAATAATTTGGTATTTCCTTTTAATAATAAAATTTGGTTTGAGGAGTCGTTATCAATATTTGATTAGAGTGTGATTGGGCACCCAAAAACATATTTGTCATTTCAATAAAATATTAATTTTAATTAAAAAACAAATTTAATATATGCGTTACCAAAAATTTGAATTCGGAAGTCGGTTACGCGTAGGGAAGGACTAGCACCCCCACATCACCCTAAATTGGTACCTAATCAATTAATTAATTGACTTTGCAATGAAATTTACGAATTTGAGATGAATTTAATTTAAGATTTCTTAAAATAATATTATTTGAATTTTAAGAAGAAACACAATAATATTTAATTATTTTCTATCGATGAGCAATGACACTTAGAGCATTCACTTCCCACTCCAATAGAAATAACATAATATTACAATTCCATTCTAAAATTCATTATTGATTTGAGTGCATAAATGAAAAAAATAAAACAAATTAAACTTAATTTTTTTAAACATGTTATTTTAATTTTAAGAGGGAAAATAATAATATTTAATTATTTCCTATCGAGAATAAATAGCCTCTCATGTCGTATAACAGTCATTTCTTACTCCAATTGAAATAAAAATATTACTATTTCGTTTTAAAATTCATTATTAATTCGAACGCGATTTATTTTTAAAATCATATTAAAACACACAAAACAAAATGAAAATTAAACACATATATCAAACAAATACGATTAATTAATTATTTTACCAACATTTAATGAGAATAATGATTTTCAATTATTTAAATACGTCCAGATGAGACCTTAGACTCAATATAACAATATTTTCTTGGTGAATTTAATTAAAAGAACATAATCTTTTTTTCTGTCCC